CCCCAAAACCCCAAAACCCCAAAACCCCAAAACCCCATTTTGGAAATTTTGTGTTGAAAATTATATGTGTTAGAGATTAGGATTATGCTGAAGAGAGTTGATGTAATGGTTTTAAGAGTATATTTCAAGAAAATATCTTTGAAGAAAATCACTTTAGTGATTACAGAATATTTCACTTTCATCTTCTGCTTTTATCAGAAGAGCTTGAAGATGCGTTTACATCTTCCTGGGAACTTCTCATTCCCCTTCCAACATTGGAAGGAGCTCTAAAAATTTGGGATATTCAGCCGATATCTCAATCAAATTCTTGTTCTTCTTTACCAATTTTAGTGTAATTGATGTTGAAGTTGTTAACATCGTATTCAATCATAGGGAAGGGCTCATAGAGAGCTTCCATGTAATACTCATGCTTTTCAATATTCTCAGTTAATTTATCCAAGTTATTTCTCAAAGATTGATCAACGCTTTATGACTGGTACTTCAGGGTCGGTGACTAAGGATGATGGCAATGCCTTACTTATTTTTCCTTCTTCAGTTTTGAATGGCTCAATGAGCTCGTACTCCATTGTTACTTCAAATTCATACTGATCTTCTGGAGGTTCTAAAGAGTCAATTTAAGCATTACTTTCTAATTCTTGGCAGTCATCTTGTAGCAGAGATAATTTTTCACAGACCTTGAACACAAATTTGTTAATAGACGAAGAAGAGTCGCTCTTTTGGTCAATAAGAGAATCCTGCTGGTTCCGGTGCTTCTCCAGTACCTTGGAATACACTTCAGAGAAGATATCCATCTTGCATGTGCCAAAGAAATGTGGGTTAAGCTGTCCTGCCATAGCGAGGTTACTTACTGTTTCTAAATAAATTATCGATAGTTTTTACCTTGTATATCCTCATCTTGGTTCCTTTTGATGTTCTTTGCGGCTTTATCATCCATAAGGTGAGAGAACCCATGATCGTCAGTTTCTTCAGAGGTCCTCCTCTTGTGAAGCTGGATCATAGGTGTAAGAGGCTCTTCTGAATTTAGATTTCTCACGATATTGGAATTCCTTAAATTTGGAGAGCTCTTTTCTTCTTCCTTAATATTTTGAGGATCTGTGTCGTCATATCTAGAGAAAGAATGAGTTGGAGATCTTACTTTCAAGGGATATTTTCAGGATCCTTTTCAATGTTTTTAGTCTCTTCTCCTCCTTCATGTATTGGAGAGGCATCAGAATCCTCTTGGTGACCAGATCCTTCAGCTTTGTTTATAATTTTAGAGGCATTACTCGAGGATATCTTCTCAGTCTTCATAAGTTGAAGAGGATTGGTCACCTGAGAAGGAGTCTCTATCCTGCTAGCCTCATCTTCTTCAACAGCTTCTTTTATAGGAGATTTCACCAATGAGAGTAAGCTATTTTGACGAACCACTGGGTCACTTAGTGATAATTTTGTAAGACTCTTGCTGGTCAATGAAACCGAGGGAGCATGCTTCTCTTCTTCAATACTTATTTTGATATCGTCATGACTAACTCCATGTCCTTTAGGCATTTGGCGATTCAATTTGTTATTTAAGCGGAGGCTCTTGATCAATACTTGATTTCTCATTGGTCTCATAACTTTGGTTATGATCAGCTTTTCTTAAGGAATGAGAGTTCTCATTCATCTTTCCTTTGCCTGTGTACTGCTCAAAAGGGTTCGAAACATGGTCGCTAATTTTGTATTGCTCTATAGGAGAGATCAGACGTTTAGGATCTTACTATTAACCTCTTCTTGTTTATGGTGAAATAACATATTTAGTTGGTTCTGGTTTGAGTTCCTTTCAATCATATGATCATTACTTTCAGTATCACTAAACTGTAGAAGTTCTTCAACATTCTTTTTTGAGAGGAAATCTCTTTGTTTGATATCATGTCACCAGGTTGAAAGAACTTTGAACTCGATGTATCCACTGACGAGGCTAGTCCTAATCTCGAACATAGTGTCGAATGGGATATCCCCTGTTTTATGATCGGGGGCTGAATAATCTCCTGTTAAAATATTCTTATTTTCGAGATAGATATCAAGGAAATAAGCCTTCGTATCTTCTCGGTCTTCGTTATGATGGGGCGAGTTGACTTGAATGACCTTGCAGTTACTGATTACTAGCTTATATCTCATTTTATTTACCCTCTCTCTCTGTTATTCTCTGGGTAAGGACCTTATCACTATGTTCGCCTAGCTGGATCAGGTTTAGAGAGTTATTTCAGCAAAATTCTTATCAAATAAGCTTCTTGGATTTCCCTTCGATAATCATCGTAACAGTTCACAAGTTGTGTAGTAATTTTTGAAACATACTGTTCAAGTGATTTTCGGCCTTTATTGTCCATTATTGGTAGCTCTTCGTATATAAACTGGAGAATCGGCAAGCACTTGGTCACGTTGTTATTTGGTCGTCCATATCATTATCTCTGAGAAGGTGACCAGCCGGTCACCAGTTCTGTTAATCAGGTCTGTGTTGAGCTTGGATTTTGGTGATTGTTTTGGGTTGAAATGCGTCTGGGTGTCCGAGAAATCAATCCCTCGTTTAAGGAATACATCTTCCTTCTTTATCTATAGCCGGATAGGTTAGATCTAAGACTCATACATTAGAACTATACTATATAGCTAATTGTACCTCTTCTAGTGCGATCAGGATATCGCATTTGATCAGAAGTTTCAGATGGTCTTTAAGAAGGTAAGCCATTCTTGCTTGATTGTGTATACTATAAATATTTTATACTCAAACTATTTTAGACTCACAGGGGTTTTGGGGTTTTGGGGTTTTGGGGTTTTGGGG